TTCTGAATATGATAATTTAGTTGCTTTATGACGAATCCCAGCACTCTAGCTGAAGAAGAACATCGAAAGTTCTTAAGAGCTTTCTCGAAAACGGATTTTTTTCACATATTGAGAAAGGCAAGGTTTCGAAGAATTCCTTAGTAATTTGTAATGACATGACTTTTCATTTCTGAGGAGAAGTTAATTAAAGGGAATTTGTGATTTGTCTCCCCTAAAAGCGAAGGATTACCGTCTATTCTTCATATAATCAACATCTTTTTCCGTATACTGTCTATTAGTACTGTTGCCCCACTTTTGTCCGCTTGGTGTCATACAATTTTATACTTATATGTATATGTGTTAGGTTAAACCTCTCTGTAAGTTCTTAGTGTGCCAAAATTTTCGGGATAATTTCTTTTTCCATTTCCATTTTTGAATTCTTCCGGTAAATTCTCAGATACATTTATGGCTTCATCTAAAACGTTTTCCATAAAGTCTTTATGTCGGAATGGAAAAAATAAAACCATTCTTAAAGGCTGCCATAATTTTGGAATCAAGAGGAACCCTCAACCCTTGATAGATCCATAGGACTTGTTGATCTGCACCACTATCTCCTTTTGCGCTTAGTGGTTTGACCTTGGGCTGTCTATTAATGCAATTTTTATCATAATCTGTAGTTCGTTGAATCATATGGAGTAAGAAAGCCACCCAAATTGGGATTTTATATTTACAAATATAGAAAACTTATAGGAGTGGTTTGACCTCTTTTTCCCAACTTCGTCGTGCCTATAGAGTGACTTAGACGAACACATTTTTATGATAATTTCCAGTGCCGGGCCTCGCCATTAGATACACCAAGCTAAAACGCTTCAGAGACAAGTGAAGTTCATCCCTTGACCACCGTTACGTCGAATCATTTCTATAGAGCAAAATGGAAATACAAATAAAATAGAGCTGCCCACTTTCGATTAAATACCTTACCGTAGCCCAAAAATTCAAGTACAAGTAATTCATCATCCTATTAGACACAAGTGAATACGCGTCATATTTAAGCCCTACTGATAGTCTCGAAAGAACATGTAATATAAATTTGCATAACCTATTCCATTTCCTATCATATTTCTTCCACAATTTATACGCAGAGGCCTTATATAATGTCTTACTAGCCTTATCTGAATGTTGTCTTTCATGTGACAGACGAAAGCATGAAACCATTATTCCCGAACGTCTCACCAGACAACAAACAAGATGGAATGGCCGGCAGAGATTCCACCTACTTGGTATAGCTTTACTTTCTCCACTTAATAAGGCCTACCATGATTTAGTTGGTTATTTCAAGGAATTGGTTGTACAAGGAAATTATTCTTCGGTTTAGTGTGAGATTATTTTATGAATCTACTTTCCAATCAACTTTCTCATCAGAATAAAAAGACCAATGATATGAATCGGATTATCTTGTAGTTATATATCCCTAATCTTTACACTACAATTGCTAGTTTTATTTAATTACATACGAAGTTATCTCTGAATACTCATTTAACATTAAGACAAATTATGAATATCATCCATCTGCACTGATGGATTGTTCGCGACGATCAATCAAATCTCGCTACTACATCGAGCCTACTATAGGGGCTTTGCTTACAAACCAAGCAAAGCTGAAATTCCAAGATAAGCCACATCCCCGTACACTGCTAATTTCCTCTCCTATATCTGCGATGGTACAAGTTAAACAAGTCGGTCGGACCTTCGCGTAAGTAGGACCATGATAAGCCAGCCTCATCATCTTGGAGAGTCTTAAGATGACCGCTTCATTGCCTCAACATCTACAGTATAACGCTTGCTCGTCATAAGTAATGCAAATTTACCGCAGGGCAGGCTTCAAATCATTGCGTCCTATTCTCATTGGGACCCAGACAGTGTCCCATTCGTTGGCGCTTCTAACGTTGGCTACACAGCCCCAGAAAACAGTGATGTTTGTCCTGTTCCACCCCCTCAATTCCTTCTATCCTCCTGCCAATTCACATTCATCACGAACAGATATATAACTAATTAGCTTTGCCTCCATTCTATACAACTGAAACATACATTCTTTAAATTTTTTATCATTTCATTAGTGCTTAGAACAGGCCATCAGGTATAGCCTGTCGAATTAGAGTGGGATCATTTAAATCTTGAGTTAAAAGTGCGCAATGGGGTCTTAAATACGAATAAAGGATGGAGTAAAATTTGGTAATCCACATTGATAACGATCAAAGGTTATGATAAAAATTGCATATTGTGTGCAAAAATGGAAAATAGGAAGACATTACTGGTTCTATACTTAACAATTAATACTGGAATCGTCAAGCATAAATTTGGATCAATGCAATATTTCATAAAGGTCTGATGCCTTAAGATTAAGCCTCGCCCATCTTGAATAAGCTAATATATCTTTAATGTTACTCTTGTTAATTCAATATCTAGAAAGAAGATAGAGCAGTTGGAAAAAAAAGCTTCTAGAATTCCTGGGAAAAAGAGATTTACCCAAAAGTTAACCTCAAATATCTTACTTAAAAAGTATCTTAAAAATAGATAAATAAAATTTAATAGAGGTACGAGAACTACCCCAACGCCAGAATGCATGCGGGCCTCGATAGCCACAAAAGGATTTTCAGGTGTTGCGTTGGCAAGCCGCGAAGGACTACGTAGTGCAGGTGTTCCAAAGCCTGGCCGTGAAAGAGACCCACAGTTCGTCAGTTCGGCACTGGTGCTACAAACCGAGGGATTGTAATTACTGGGTCGGCGGGCAACTTGAGCCGATAGAGGTACGACTGGTGGTGATAGAAGTAGTGATACAGGAGGCAGTGATGAA